TCCGTTTTTAAGAACTGTTTAACGTTATATGTCGGAAAGGGAGGAGACCTGCAGAAGGTTAGCGAGTAAGTACATCATAACTGCAATTGCATTAGACTTAATGTACCAAATAGATAGAATTTGGAAAAAGGTAAGTTTTATAGACCAGTCAGCTTATTGGATACGTGGGCATTTCCCTTTTGTTTTAAGGCTGTCTGGTGTGATGTTGAGGAACTGAATTACATTTGTAATGGAAGGCATGTCACTAAGCATTCAAATGTAACATAATAGTATTGAAACAGTTATTAGAATGCAAGTAAAAACATAACACTAATATCATTGTACAGAATGACAAATCAGAAGGTGTTTTTATAATGACATAGAAGAGTTTCTGTGAGGGTTTGTTCTTGATGAAATGGTTTAATCTCTTTAGTGTTCTGTAATTTAAAAGTTTCTGTTGTTTTATGTTAAATGTGATGAGTGGTGATGCTGGTGCGCCCTAATGTGATGTAGGTATGATAACCTGTGCTGTTTTCTTGTTATATCCATTTTTTTCCACACTGAAATCATGAGAGCCTGGATCTCTTGACTGCTGATAACATGTTTACAACATTAATCAATAATATTGTTCCTCATGTTGCTCCAATATGCTGGGAAAATTCTTCAGAAATGCAAAAAAAACTACTAGGGTCTTTGGTGCTTAGACCCTTCTTAATTCACAGTAACTTAATCATAAATCCATGAAATAAATGCAGTGGGGAAGGAAAGAAGGTGTGAAGACAGTATTCATACTTGTTTTGAATATTTACTCTATGTTTTTTGTTTTTGTAGATATTTTGATTACCTTTGAAAGTAAACTTGACTTTGACCATCATTTTAATATGATATTGTGTGATGTAAAATATCATTAATGTAATCCAACAATCCTTTAAAGATTTATTGTACCAAAAGACTTCTCTGTGCCAGTCCATGAAATAGACTGTTGTGTAAACATGACACCAAATGAGTCTGTTGTCAGAAACAGAAATGTAGTTAATGAAGTGAGCTTTGGTTCTGATTGGTATTTAAAGTCAGGAAGAGAGGAAAAAGGCTTGTAGCACATAAATATCAAGAAGCAGAGTTCCCCTCAGTACATAGTTAGAAACAACAGATTGTTGATGTACAGGATAGATTTCCAGGATAGATACAGAAGCAAAAGTTTAGTACCCAGGTTGATAGTGGTCCATAGATGAAAATGACATTGATTTCTGTTAAAGGTAATAAGGATTTTTTTGTGTTGAGTGATCCCAAGAGGAGTTTGCATATATAACATATCGTCATGTCCTTGCAGGTTCTGTATGCAGTTTAGTGAGCAGCCTAACATGTCAGAACCCAACCCAGAGCTGGTTGCCCCTAACAAGCCACTGGTAGGAGGTGGTGGCAGTGGTAGCACAGGAGGAGGGGGAGGGGGAGGTGGAGGTGACCCTGGAGTGGGGGGACCAAGAGGACCTGGATCTCAAGGGGGCTCAGGCCACCAGGGCGGAACTCCCCTTTCAGAATCCTTACGGGACCCCAGGCTACAGAAACCGAACACAAATGGAGGGAACATGGACCCCAGAGCAGGGAAGGCTGGGATGGGCAACATGTCAGCCTCCAATGGGCACGCACATCACAATAGCAGTGGGCGACATGGGGGAAACTCTGGGGGCTCCACAACTAGTAAAAATCGTAATCATGTTTCATCCAATAGACAGTCTGCCAAGAGGTAATGATGTCAGATGCATTAGGATGTTAAATGTGGATCTGGAGAGAGAAAGCGAGAGTGATAGAAAGGTAGAAGGAATAAAAAGATCAATAATATAAGCATTGTACATTTTTTTTTAACAGAGATAATGTAAAGCATAATATATTATTGCAGGGGTTCATATCTTGTGAAATTGAATGGTATGAGCATCTTTCCTCTGTATGTCTTGAGTGAATGTCTAAGCACTTTCAGCTCCGAAATTGACACGGTGCAAAGTATTGTACTTCAGTGTTTGTATAGTAGTGTTGTGTGAAAGAAGAAGGATGAGTGGAAAGTTTGAGCAGAAAAAGTGATATGCTTCCAAATAGCACTCTAAAATCAAGGATATGTATGCGAGTGTTTTCACGTTTACACAGTGCTTTCACCCCTCATGACATTTGTGGTTGTTGGTGATGTAAAATATATATGAAACCTTGTCCCTGCATTGGATTTACATTTGAGGTCTACAATACATAGTATTCTTGATGGAAAAGAAAACTTCTGTCTTTGGCACAGAGAGGATAAGAAATTTTTAGGTTGTGCGCAATGTCTTTGTTTATTTTTATAATTATTATTTGATTTTTATATTTTACAGTCATTGGAATATTAAAGTAGAATATTGCCTCTGTGTTTGATGATTAGAATGCGAGACCTGGTATGGAAACCAAGTGATATTATCTTAGTTTATCCTTTAAGTGTGAGATCGTGACATCAAATGTCTTACAAGTTGTGGTAACAAATCCTTTTTAATTTTTAAAATGATTTAAAATGGTTGAAACTGTTCTGCCTTTGGCACTTTGATATTAGTAGCATAAGTAATTTTGAAATTGCAGATGGTAATGATCATATTGATTGATGGTGAATATCTCCCTTTTTAAATAAAGATTTCGGATCAAGTTTTATCAAATTGTGCTCCTGCTTGTACACTTGTATATATATAATTTGTATATATATAATTTATATATAATATATATATATAGGGAAAAAAAAAAATCTTGATAAAACTTTAGGCGGGCATGAAGAAATGACGTCACAAACCACTTGTTAAACAAGTAGGCGGCTCCTCTATGCCATAATTTACAGGTGCCCACCGTTTATACCCGTCTGTCCAGTAATGTAATTGTCAGTTTATTCCATTTTATTATTATTATAAGAAACATTATGTCCACTTTTAATCCAAAGAATCTTATTCCCTTTGCTCATATTTTTTTGCTTTTTTTCTCCACTACGTTTTCCTGATTAGTTTATATAAAATAATCGTCAAACTTCTAGAAATACATGGAAAAAAAAAAATCCCCACCCTTTTTCTTTTTCTTCTTTTCCATTTTCATTCATACCCCTATGTGAAGATATATACGGAACTATTAAAACAGTAAATTAAGCAATATTTAGTCCCAGCCATGAAAGGTTATTTTCAGAAAACTTTATTTGCTTAGTACTTAAAAGATTTTGCACAGAGTAATTTATTTAACATCCACGGTTCTTAGCATAGATAGGGATTTAATGTTTTGGCTAGATTAAACTATTCCCTTGCATTCGTTATCCCACTAAGATTTACCTATTACGATCAGATATTTTTATATCTTGTCATTTCATGGTCATTATCATCAGTAAAAAAGGTTTCTTATAGTGTAGTTTTTTTGTGAATGTTCCATTGTCCAATGCATTTCTACCTCAAGGGAAAGGAAGGAAAAAAATAGAAACTGCCATTACCATGTACATGCTCTGCCCACCCATATTTCCAACTGTTCCACAATGGCATTCCATTCCAGATGTCTAAGTTATTGCGAGTCTATACCAGGTTTAGAAATCTACCCTAGTCATAACTTCCTTTTGACTATTAAGGTTTGTTGCTCCACTGTGTCTTAACCATTGATTCCTTTCTTGCAACTTAACACAAGAGGTATTTGATGAAATGAAAAATTGTAAAAAGTGAAAATACATGTATATTTTAAAACAACTTCTGTATCTCATTTTTACCAGTCCTGTAGGGAGGGAATTTCCCCCTCCCCCTACTTGTTTGAGAAAAGATTGCAAACCCATTCTTGGATTCTTTGATATTGCACCAGTAACTATTGTCATTGCATATTCATTTTCATTCCTACAAAATTTAGCTTCACCTAACTTCACTTTACAGTTCAATCATGTTCAGTAAGAGGGTTTTCTGAATACAGGATGTTTGAAAGAAAACAAAAAGCTTGTAATTATGATTTATATTATTCATTTACATCACCTGTCTGGAATGACTAAATATACTCATGTCTATGTAGTTGAAAATTATATTCAAATTTTTATTCCACTGCGGTTTTGACACCACGGGTGCTACCCTAATCAAGTAAATTTCTGCATAGATTCTAGTTGTATCTGTACTTTGGAGAAAATTTGCAGCTATTGGGGGACATACAGTAATGGGGATTAGGGAAATTTGTTGTAATGTCTTATCTTTTTGCAGTATTGCTCATCTGATATTTGTGGCTGGATTGTAAGTGGCAGTTACAAGTCACATGTAAAACAAACCAAACCATTCGTTTGAACAAGGCTAAAGATTTGCATAATTATGATGCAGTAACATTATCAACTTGTAAAAATTTGTTATTTATAGAATGTGCAATTTTTTTATGTGCTGTTATAAAAAGTTTTGCCATTATTTGCAGTCACCACCTATAATCACAAGGTTCCAGGTTCACTACACAACTCATTACAATCTCTGCTTGACCATTTCCATTGATCATTATTAGCTTGCCACATGTATGAAATATCCACACATTTTATGAAAAAGAATGTATACATGGCATTTCTGAAAGCAAAATGTAACTGGAATCCCATTGTGAAGTGTATATGGGAAATGATTTTACCCTGACTGAAGTATTAAAATGGTTAAATTATCAGTTGTTACTTCAGAAGGATTCAACATGTTTGTGATGATTGAGGATTTGTACCAACACATCCTTATCGTGTCCTACATAGGATTGTATGAAGAGGATCATTGTCAAAAGTCTTATTTTACAAAGAAAAAAAAAATTATAGGGTCTTCATTCATATTGCTATAGTAGGACAGATGAAAGGGAGCTGCTAACATGAGGCGATTGATGAATTGGTGGATTTATGCTGCCATCTTCTTTGCAAGGTTCTCACGGATGGCTTCCAAGAAGTCATTGGTGTAGAGGTACATGCCATCCTTCACATTCCTGATGCCATGGATACAGCCAGCCAGATCCTTGGTCATTTGGCCAGCATCCACAGTATCAACACAAGCAAGCTCCAGGGCCTGCGCAAATCTAGGAGAAAACGAGTCCATTACATTCTGGGAATAGACTAACGTGAATGTAACATATGGAGGATTGGATAATGGCTATATAAAAATAGTCTTGTAAACATCAAGTTATAGCATTGCAGAAGTATTGCAAATAATGGATTGTGTCTGTACAAGGTATTCTGGCAAACTTAAGGCAGTATCCAACAAAACATGCTCAGTTGCAAAGATTCATATCATTGACAATGTCAGTTATTCACCTTCCAAGTAAACAAGAAATATAATGCAACCTACCTGGCAAGCTCAGGAGTGCCATCAAGCTTGGCACGATGTTCAAGGCCTCGAGTCCATGCAAAGATGGAAGCAACAGGGTTGGTCGAGGTGTTGTTACCCTTCTGGTGCTCACGGTAATGTCTTGTTACAGTTCCATGAGCAGCCTCGGACTCAATGGTCTTGCCATCAGGGCACATAAGCACAGAGGTCATGAGACCCAAAGAACCTGTGAAAAATTAGCTGTCAGATGGCTTTCTCAATTGCATAAATCATGCAGTCCCATCTATACAGATTTCAGTTGACTCCTACCCATTACCTGCTATAATAAATGAAAAAACTTGGTATGCACTTTAAATGCTAATAAACTGCTCAAACCAGTCACTGTGAAACCTAACAACCTTTGCATCATAAATTCTTACCATAACCCTGAGCAACAACATCAGACTGGACATCACCGTCGTAGTTCTTGCAAGCCCAAACAAAGCCACCACTAGACTTCAGTGCTTGTGCAACCATGTCGTCAATAAGGCGGTGCTCATACCAGATGCCCTTTGCGTCAAATTCTTTCTGCAATGCAATAACCCTAATTTAACCACAGGGTAGGTGGTTAAATTTGATATTTGCAGACCTGTATAGGTACAAATTTAGAGCATGATTACCCCCCCCCCACACACACACACACATACACATAAACTAGAGGTAACAGTTTCTCAAACCTTGTATTCAGCCTCATAAATTTCCTCGAAGATGTCCTTGAAGCGGCCGTCATAGCGCTTGAGAATGGTATTCTTGGTGGACATGTACAGGGGCCAGCCCTTTCCCAAAGCAACCTGGAGAGGATTTTTTTTTTTTAATTCTTTTTCTTTTGATTCTCCCTACACTTACTGCTAACGTACTGCACAATACAAGGACAAATGTTGGCAGGTTATATTATCACTTTGTACCTGGAAGGATGAGTGTGCGAAGGAACGGATAGACTCGTCTGTGTTATACATGGCCATCGTAACACCGCCACCATTCTTGAAGTCAAAGACCTTCATCCTCTCTGGCTGACCACCCTCTGGGGTGTAGACCAGCTCCACCTGTCAGCAAAAGTGAAGTTGGTGCATTCCAAAACAAAGGATGATAGGAATTTTCACTCTTCATATAAGAAAAGTCAAGTCTATTTACAATTTCTTAAATCAAGGCTTAAAGCCGATTATTCACTCAAAAATTTAATCCTTCATTAGGAAATCATGTCTGCCAATATTAAATAATATCCTTTATATTTCTGTTGTATGACACCTTAAAAAGTAGATGGACAAGTTTGAATGTCTAACTTACAGTTCCATTGTTGGGAATGACTACATCAGTAGCCTTGTATTGGTCTCCGTGGGCATGTCTGCCAATGATGATACTCTGGGTCCAGCCGGGTACAAGACGAGGAATGGTCTCGCAGAGGATGGGTTCACGGAATACAGTGCCACCCAAGATGTTACGGATGGTACCATTGGGACTTAGCCACATTTTTTTCAACTTGAATTCTAGGAAAAAAAGTTCAGCTTGTGAAATGCCATTACA